TGATCACGTGACATCATTTGTCCCCCTTACGTCACATTATGTAATACATAAGTTTTGGGGTCAACTTTCAGGCTCAGTAAATAGAGGAGTTAGTCTAGTGTATAGTATAAATGTCTATGGACAATACCAAAGGATGCATTCGTTTATGCAGTCACTATCGCAGATGTTCGTTTACTTCATTTGTGAAAGTGACTGCAGCGCAGTCGTCGTTCGTTTCGCAGGGATGTATCTCATCTGTGTGCTATCTCGGAAGTCCTGCTTTGGATGCTCTGCTTGCAGTACTGTATAAACAAACATCAAAATGAATTTTATTAGAATAAGAAGCGAAAAGGATTAGAAACAAATAATTGATCCAAGTAAAATAAGAATAATAAGATATAATTAAAATAAAAATAAGATAAAATTAAAAAAATAAGAAAAAAATGAGAATAAAAAATAAAAATAAATATGCATGTACAATAAGGCTCCCAATATAAAAATAGACAAAAGGGGTATAATGGCAATAAGAGCCCAGCGCAGTAGTAAGAGCGCATATAAATTTATTGAATAATCAAAATGACATAAAGATTATCGCGAGGAATGACGAAACGCAAGAGCGGACGTTTCGGCTAATCTTTTAGCCTTCATCAGCGCAAATTAACAAAAGTAGCTAAATACAAATCGACAAGGACATATCGCAAATTATCGCTTCATTAAATTATTTTATTTTAACCGCACATATCAAAGTTTGTAAGACGGAAGTCTCTCACACTGCAGCGCATCCTAGTATATAATACAAATAGTTAGAATGGCCAGCTCCTTGATTAATGTCGGAAGCTGAGAGATCCCAACGTTGTCAGAGCAAGAAACTATGATTCGTTTGTAAAATTAATCTGTAAATGACCTGAGAGCATCTTATGCGAGGCGATATGAGAGAGTCGTAAGAAAACATGTAAAAAGCTTATCTACAGATACATAAAGATCTCAATAACAGGAGCATAATTCGGTTTACTAAATTACAAACAGCTCAGCAGATCTCAACGCACTAACAATTACATAATACTGCCCTTTTGCAACGGTACGAATAACTCTCGTCGGTTAGACAATCAAGAGTCGAAAACTTTCACTTTCGGAAGGATAACATAAACGTTCGAACAATAATAATATAAATTTAAGAAGGACAAAGAAGCACGTAACAACAAAGCGATGGTACAAATTTTTAACAGAATATACTGACGACAATATATAAAAGAAAAAAATAACAAATAATAAATAATATAAGCGAGAAAAACGCTAGGTATAAATTTGCCTATGAACAGGTTCTTAGAACCATCAAATCTTGGTACAAGTCTCTAAAAATAAAAAGCATGTGTCAAATGGTAAAAAAATAAATATAAAAATGTAAAAACCATATACGTATATATCAAAGATGTAAAAATACAGAATAAAAGAATTTAATGAAAAATCAAATTTTAAAGAGTTTCTCCATTGCAGTTAGATACATTTCCGGGAGACATTCCGTATCAATTTGCAAATTAATACTATTCTTCAGTCTTTTAATATACAGTACTTCAGAAATTAGTCGTTTGTATAAGTGTGGTTCTCTGTCTAAAATTTCTACATTTTCTCAATCAAACTCATGGTTAGCTGCTAGTCTGTGGTCAGTTATCACAGAATGGTTACCCGTATTCTGTCGGATATGATTTTTATGTTCTCAGATTCTGGTGTGTAGTTGCTTTTGATCTTTTGGTCTTTTGGTCTTTGGTCTTTTGGTCCCACATACGAAGCATCGCAATTTTCACAGTTAATTTTGTAAACAACATTGCTGTGAGCAGATGGTGGAAGAGAGTTTTTGCCAACTTTAATAAACGTGTTCAGTTTATTGAGACTACGATATGCCAATTTGACATTCTTTCGAGTCTTTAATAATTTTCTTAAATTGTTCGGAAATTGCAGGAACGTAAGGTATAGTAAAAAAAGAAATTCTCTCTGAATCGATCATCTTTCCAATGTTGTCAGACTTGGAGTTACTCTTGAGGAAAAGTGTCTTGAGGCGTTCATGCAAGACATTAAAAACGAAATCCAGTGGATAACTATTATCCAGTAAAATTTCGACTACCAGATTAACGTTTTTTACAGTGGAATGTCGGGTGTGAAAGTAAAATAGTTCTGTCAAATAGTTCCATGACGGTGCCTCTTTTTTGGCATACCGGATGATTCGAGAGGAAATGTAAGTATCTCCCTGAGAACGTCAGTTTGTGATACCAATCAAATATCAACTGATTGTCCGCCAAAATTATAGTAACATCCAAGAAGTTGAGCTTGTCCCGCGCCGATCTCCATTGTAAATTGCAAACGCGGATGTAAGATATTAAAGATGTTCAGAGTGTAGTTGAGTAAGTCGGGAGCAGCCAAAGCAATGTCGTCAACGTAGCTAACAAAAAATGGGGGGTTAAAAGACAAGGAATTGAGAGCTCTCGTTTCTAAATCTTGTAATACTATGTCTGCTATGGGTGAGAGAGGTGAACCCATGGGTGTGCCAAAAGTCTGTTGGTAAAACGTTCCATTAAAGGTGAAATTAGTAGAATTCAATATGAATCTGACCGGTGATGAACTCAAATTTTGAAATTGAACACTTATTAGAAATGTAATCCCATCTGGCAGAGACTATCAATGGCCATTTCAATGGGCACATTGGTAAACAGTGACACGACATCCAAGGAAATCAACGAGAAATCTCTGTCGATGTGCACATTAGAGAGTCTTTTTACCAATTCGAAACTATTGTTGACGTGGCTATGTGCAACAAGAACATTTTTGAGTACTATGCGATGGATAAACGTGGCTAAGTTATACAAGGGGCTATTGAAAAAAAAGACAATGATTCGGAAGGGACAATCAGGTTTGTGAATTTTTGGAAGTCCATACGCTCTCGGCAAAATCTCATCACTGCAAAGTGAAAGTTTTCGACTCTTGATTGTCTAACCGACGAGAGTTATTCGTACCGCTGCAAAATGTCAGTATCATGTAATTGTTAGTGCGTTGAGACCTGCTGAGCTGTTTGTAATTTAGTAAACCGAATTATGCTCCTATTATTGAGATCTTTATGTATCTGTAGGTAAGCTTTTTACATGTTTTCTTACGACTCTTTCATATCGCCTCGCATAAGGTGCCCTGGTCATTTATAGATTAATTTTACAAACGAATCATAGTTTCTTATCCTGACAACGTTGAGATCTCTCAGCTTCCGACATTAATCGAGGAGCTGGCCATTCTAACTATTTGTATTATATACCAGGATGATGCGCTGCAGTATGAGAGACTTCCGTCTTACGAACTTTGATATGTACGGTTAAAATAAAATGATTTAATGAAGCGATAATTTGCGGTATGTCCTTGTCGATTTGTATTTAGCTACTTTTGTTAATTTGCGCTGATGAAGGCTAAAAGATTAGCCGAAACGTCCGCTCTTGCGTTTCATCATTCCTCGCGATAATCTTTATGTCATTTTGATTATTCAATAAATTTATATGCGCTCTTACTACTGCGCTGGGCTCTTATTGCCATTACACCCCTTTTGTCAATAAAAATAAAATAAAAAAAATAAGAATAAAAATAATAAGAAATAAGAAAAAATAAAAATAATATAATTCACAAAAGATTAATATTTAACTTTTAAGTAAAATTCATAAATTAAATATTTCTTATAATATCCATTATTTATATCAATTAAATTTAATATCAATAAAATATTACCTTTTATACATTATGTAATAAAAAAATTTTTATTACATTTTAATTATTCGAATATAAATTTATGTATAAAATTTATGTATAAAATTATCTCTTTACTTATCATTCAAACAATCGGCTCAATTTCTATTGGAAGGTATGATCCGTGCAGTTATTCACGCAGTTATCTATTCGGTAAATTTCGATCACGGGACAAGCAGATGAAAAAACAATGGATGCACAAAACACTGCGTAAATGAATGCACTCCCTATAAGAAGAGATCCCTCGCCAACTCGTCACGTGACATTAATAGACTCTGATTGGCTAGGGTATGTATTGCACATCTATGCTCCATGAAACAAAACAGATGTTTCCAATAACTTATTTTGACAGATGTTATGTACTGTTACAGTACTGTGTCATAGGTGTTATACGTTATACGTAAGTTAATTTATCATATCTATTTATTACATCTTTACAATTATGAAAGAAAGCATCATATGTAGTTATAAATAAAATTTAAATTGAAAGATATTTATTAGATTCGGAAAAATAAATGGAGACCGACTGGATTTGAACTCGGGATCCCTCGTTTACTAATCTGACTAATCTGACTAATCTCACTTAGTCTGCACGATCACAACGGCTTCTCTCTGTTAGCTGTTTATATTCCAAACCTCTTTCATGACCGCTTACGGTCGTCTAATTCTTACAAAATTAATAAACGTAGATACATATATTGCTTATATATTGCATATATTGCATATATAAGAAAGCAATATATATTGCTATTGCTATATATATTGCTTTCTTTCATAATTGTAAAGATATAATAAATAGATATGATAAATTAATTTACGTATAACGTATAACTATGAATAATGAACATGTACATAACACAGTAGTGTACATGTATATAACATGTATCTGTCAAAATAGATTATTGAAACATCTGTTTCGTTTCATGGAGTACAGATGTGCAATTCATACCCTAGCCAATCAGAGTCTACTAACGTCGCGTGACGAGTCTCTATAGAATTGGCGAGTCTCTATAGAATCAGTTTAATCACCTTTAACATAAGGGAAAAGTGAGAGGCTCCAGTCCATACTTGTAGTCTAGAGACCTTCTAATCAGAGACTGGCCATAATTTCGTCAAATTTCTGCGAGAGAGAGAGAAATATAGGCTATCTCGCTCTTCTATGAATGTGCATATATGTATATATCTTTTATGTGAAACGTGATTTAATATTTTGTGAAAATGGATAGATGTTTCGTAGAATTTTATAATAATTCGTCATCGAAAGGATATATAATAAAATTAATTATTATTAATTTAATTATAATTAATTATAATTTAAATATTTCCCAGAAATTGTAACGTCGTGGGATTTCGTAGTCGAAAACTGTTGGCCGTAAAGATTGGACGCCTACAAATAATTTATATCTTTGTAAGGTTAAGTCATCATGTTAAATATCATGTTAAGTATCATAACAATAACAAAATTATAACAAAATTAACATTATTATTAACATTATTATTAATTTAATTAAAAGTGATGTTGTGAATTTTGTCTTTTATTTTTTATTTCTATATTGATATTTACTTTTATCTTATTGTATATAATCTCTATATTGTATATCTTTTTTTTTCATTTTATCTATATTATAATTTGCAAATTCCAAATACTAAAAATTACTATAAAATTACTATAATAATCTTGATTTTTAATTTTTGCTTTTTATAAAAATAATTATATAACAATTATAATTAAATATTGTTTTTTTGTTTTTATATATTATAAGTACATTTTGCTCCTGATATGTGGCAACAAAGGTCTGAAGGAAAAAAGAAATTAAACAAAGATGCTTAAATCTTATATACTTTTTTAAAATAAATTTTGTAAATTTAAAAGTGTTTAATTTTAATAATTATTTCCTATTTTTATTTAAATTTTATTTAAGATAAATTTTTCTTTTAATTCTTAATAGAAAACATTAAATATAAAAAATTATTTTAAGATATAATCTAAATTAATATAAAAAACAAATTTTAAAGATTTTTTTCATATTTATCATTAAATATTATTTATATTTCAAAAACAGAGTAATTGAAATTTGAATTTAAGCGGGAATTGAAGAAAATTATGGACCAATCAAAAGTGACACTCTCAGGCTGATGGTCCATGGCGCGGAAATCCACAGCGGAACGGAACGTGCGAACCAATCAAAAGCGAAAGAACAGAATAAACGAGTTTTTTTTTAGTTCTTTCGCTGTGATTGGTTTGCGCATTCCGCTGTGGATTTCTGCGCCATGGGACACCAGCCTCATGGCCAGTTTCTAATTAGAAAATAGTCTCTAGTATAGTCAAAGATCATAGATGAACAGGAATTCATCTAAGATAGAGGTCTCCACAGTCTCCGATCCTTTAATCTAAAAATTATAATTAATGGAACGTAACCTATGATCTGCACAAATTGTCATCATGACAAATACAAATAGAAAGATGATATTTAGATATTTGTCACACCATAACTTTGCATCTCTTATGTTATTATGCCGTGAATTACTTTTTTATTAAATTGTGTTCGAAATACTTATAAAATCGTGACGCAACGGATTATTGTGACTAGCAATAGGATCGTAATCGTAAAGAAGACGAAGGAAAGCTGCGCTTTCCTGCTTGCATTGTTAATTTTTTCCACCGATGATGGAGAAACGAAATCCTCTATTTATCTATTGTGCTTTCATTATCTTTCAAAGTGTTTGTAAGTAGGGCGTTCTGTTGTTACTTTGTAACTGACTGTTATGCCACAGACGAAATCGATAGCGAATTTCTCGTTTAAAATTGAAAAAAAGGAAGTGCATTTAGAGATTCGCAGTGTCTTTGAATCACAAAATAAACATTTTAAATACTATTAATATTTTAAAGAATTAAGCTTAACAAATAGAAACAACTTTGGTTTTTCTTTTCATATTTGTCAAAGACTTTAATAGTTTTCTGAGCTAATCTGAGAAAAATATTTGATATTTGTTTATAATAAGAAAAAGAATAATTATATTTATATCAATATATTACAATAAAAATTTTAAGAAGTATGATTTATTTTGTTATCACAAATTAATTTATAGGAATTTTTATTTATATTATGGTTAATTATTTATCAACAGATGGGCTTCACAGAAATTTGAAATATTATGAAACAATTCATAGTACTCATTTTCAACATAGAATTGTAAAGCAGGGTATTTATCATAGTTACCATCCATATAATAAAATAAGTGAATTGGAATTCTACTCACATGGACGGTAAAATAACACTTTATTATTGATCATTACTTAAATTGTTACATTAATTGTTACATTAATAAAAGTGTTCTTCATTTTAATAATGTTTTCAACAATTTTTTTGAAATTTCACAGTCATTTCCGATTAATTTTAACACCAAGAAGAGAAGTTATACATTCCAACTTTAAGGCATATGAAGTCAGTGCTGATAATAAAGAAAAAACTGTTCATTTAGGTATGGTGTAGTTCAGCAAAGTAGTTAAATTTGTTATATATAAATTGTTTTCACTGTACTATCTTACAGATCATGATAACTTTTATCATGGCCGGGTGTTTGGAGAAATTAAGTCTCATGCTCAGATGCATATTGATGATGGTATTGTGACAGGCACTATAACAATGTCAGATGAAACCTTTCATATTGAAGTGAGTATGCTGAGAATAAAATATATTCAATGTAGTTAAAATTTATAATATAATTTTTGTAAATAAATTGAATGATAAGATTCAATTAATTAAAATTATATGATAAGATTACATATAAAAAATAATGTAGATATAATTTTTATAATATTTAAAAAAAATTCTTGATAAAGATTTAAACTTTAAACATTTCATCATGCTTCACAGATTGTTTATCATAATCAAGAAATTAATCTATAATGAATTTTAGCCATCCTGGAGGCATCTTTCTCATTTGGATAATCAGACAATGATTATTTATAAATCTTCTGACGTTAAATTCAGTTGGGAGCATTATCAAAATGGAGAAGGTCATACACATGGAGCACCAAAAACTTGTGGTTACATTAACGAAAACTTACGTATGATTTTGTTATAAAACAGATAATATATATAATTTTAAAATATAGAAGATATCAGAATTTTAAAAAATACAGAGAATATCCAACTTGATATTTTCATATTGAAAATTTTATTTTAAAATGACACGCATATACAAAGATTTTATTATTAAAATATTTGTAATTTTAGAATATTCTATATTTTTTTTATATTTTATGTAATTATTTCTAATTTTGTAACAAAATGATAAATTTTATTTTGTACTTGTAGAGCATACATTAAGTTATAAGAGCGATTCTGAGGACGATATAGAAATGGATAATAGTAGCATTAGGGTGAAAAGGCAAACAGAGACTTATGAATATACACCAACGAAAACAAGATGTCCGTTATTGTTAGTTGCTGATTATCGGTTTTATCAGGAAATGGGTGCCAGTAGTACAAAAACTACAATTAATTATTTGGTATACAAAAATAATGTATATAGTTATCGCACATGATTTATAATTATTGATTTATAATTATAATGATTTTAATTTTTCCTTTGCAGATAAGTTTAATTGATAGAGTACATAAGATTTACAATGACACTTTATGGCAAGATCATCAAGAAGAAGACGGTTTCAAAGGGATGGGTTTTGTCATAAAAAAAATCGTTGTTCATAGTGAACCGACGCGAGTAAGAGGTGGTGAAACACATTACAATATGGTTCGCGAAAAATGGGATGTCCGTACATTGCTCGAGGTTATTATATCTATGATTATTGTTTTGAAAATTAACTTTTTGGATTCATTAATTTTAATATAACTGACTTTATTAAATTAATATCTCATAATATTGTTAATCCAGGTATTTAGTCGAGAATATAGTCATAAGGATTTCTGTTTGGCCCATTTATTTACCGATCTGAAGTTTGAAGGTGGTATTCTCGGATTAGCCTATGTAGGATCTCCTCGTAGAAATTCGGTAGGCGGTATATGTACACCAGGTACATACATTAAAAAAAAATATTTGTATATTTTTTCACATCGTACATCTCTAATGTTAAATATATTAAAGTATGTAAAATGATATTTACATAATATTAGATCTTTCATAAATTAATAGACAATATATATTAGATAATATATATTTTACAGAATATTTTAAAAATGGATATACATTGTATCTGAACTCGGGGCTAAGTTCTAGCAGAAATCATTATGGACAAAGAGTAATTACAAGGGAAGCCGATTTGGTTACAGCACATGAATTTGGTCATAATTGGGGTTCTGAACATGATCCAGATGTCTCAGTGAGTTATTGCTGTATACTATAATTTATTCTAGCTAAGAATTAATAAAACATTTGACAATTTAAATAATACTAATACTTTACATTTTATGACTATATTATATTTAATTTTTAATTATATATTATATTTATATATATTTGATTTATATTTAATAAATATTATGAAAATAAAAGTAAGCATGTGAAGTAGAGACATTAGATGTTGATAGTTTTTGTTGATGTAAATAGATGAAATTTTACATGTATTAACTTTTGAAATGTTCTTATATTGATATTTTTGTCTTATAACAAGCTTTTATTTTTTTTATAATTTTTAAATCTAGAATTTAATTTTTTAATATCATTGTAGGAATGTAGTCCAAGTGCAAGCCAAGGGGGATCTTACTTAATGTACACTTACAGTGTTAGTGGCTATGATGTTAACAATAAGGTAGAATACATGGTTTCATATTGTAATTTCTGTCAAATATAATATTTTATTTAATTATAATATTTTACAAATATAATATTTTAATATTTCTTAAATGACATATTGATATTTAATACTATGTGTTACATATCTTTGTAAGTCCATACTTTTATAGATTTATGTTTTTTTTTCCATACGTAGAGATTTTCACCATGCAGCTTGCGATCTATTAGAAAAGTTCTACAAGCGAAATCCGGACGTTGTTTCTCAGAACCAGAAGAATCATTCTGTGGTAATTTGAGAGTCGAAGGTGACGAAGAATGCGATGCGGGTCTCTTGGGAACAGAAGATAATGATTCGTGTTGCGACAAAAATTGTAAACTTCGAAGTAATCAAGGAGCAGTTTGTAGGTAATATCAGACAGAATCACATTTATATATCCCTCTCTTTTTTTTATTACTTTATAATTAAAAATATTATACCGTTATAGCAATGAATAATGAAGTTATTTTTTCATCCGTTTTATTTTTTACAACAGTGATAAAAATTCTCCTTGCTGTCAGAATTGTAATTACATGCCTGTAGGCATAAAATGCCGTGATGCACAATATGCCACTTGCGAACAGGAATCGCGTTGCACCGGAACATCTAGCGAATGCCCGAAGTCTCCGGCCATGAAGGATGGCACTGGTTGTCTCGAACGTGGTCAATGCCGTTTAGGCAAATGCGTACCATATTGCGAGACCCAGAATTTACAGAGTTGCATGTGCGATACTAGTACGTATTTTAAGTATTGGATATTTACAAGTATAGACAGAAATTTTTTATTACATGCGTATTAATTTGCATCATGTTTTTATGATAAAAAATTTTAATTTGTATTTAATAACTTTCTAAGACTTTTTCTACAAATTTATTGTTCCTTTGCAGAATTTATATGCTGTTTCTTAATTATGCAATATGGAATTTTTTATTAAGATTTTTAATGTTGTATTATTTTCTTATTCGATCAAAATTGAAAAAAATTTGATACATTATTTTATAAAGATATGATAAAACTTATGACGATGCCAAATTAACTTTGATTATATAGCAAAACAAATATTAACTTTTCAGTTAACTTTGATTATATGGCAAAAAAATATTAATAATATTTAATAATTATTCAAGATATGATTAATGTTCTTACGTTGCATTTGAATAGTTGCCGACGCATGTAAAAGATGCTGCAGAATGAGTTTGAACGAAACGTGCTTTCCGATAGATCCGCAAGATATTTTACCCGATGGCACACCGTGCATTCAAGGTTTCTGCAATAAAGTAAGATATATCAACAATTAAAATTAATTGAAATAGACAAGTGCAATTTTTCTGCTAGTGTCGTAAAATATTTACATACACTCTTTCCAGGGTGTATGTGAGAAAACGATTCAGGATGTAGTAGAACGATTCTGGGACATTATCGAGGATATAAATATCAACAAAGTTATGCGCTTTTTAAAAGATAATATAGTGGGTGCTGTAATAATTATCACTGCCATTATATGGATACCAGCAAGTTGTGTAATCAGTTACATTGATCACAGACGTGTAAAAGAGAATGAAAAGAAGTGGCGATGGAAACATACAGATGAACTTATTCATCCGGATGAGCCGAGACAAGTGATTTATGTTGGCGGTCAACGACAAAGAGTACAACATGCCATGCATCAATCGTGAATGTAGATCGTTCCATTACGTATTTCGATATCTAAGTCAGATTAGAATATCTAGTCAGATTTATATGAAGTGATACATCGGTTGTATATCAATTTAGAATAACGAAATGTAAACGTAAATATTGTTTCCTTTTATATTATACGTATGTAGCTTCTACGTAATTTTTTGTTAAAATTTTGAACAAATTTTATAACTGAATGAAAGAATATATATATATATATATATATATATATATATATTAGATATTTAAAATCTCTTTTTTTTAAAACCTTATTTATTTTTTCTAAAATTGGCAATTGCTACTTAATTATTAAAGTATGACTATTATTTTATATTAATATATTATAATATTAAACAACAAAGATCAAAGAATGAAAAATTTTGTTTTGTAATTCTAAATATACAATATACTTTAAGAATTTTAACATATTGATATACATTCTAAATGTATATCGCGTATTCTCATAAGAAAAGTGACACAAACAGATACAAATCGAAAGTTTTCAAATCTAGTATTATGTATGAATCGTATTTTACATTAGTTTTTAATCAGAAAAAATGATACAAGTTGAATTTAAATATTTCCTGCGTGAGTCTACAAAGTATTGCTATAGCTCAATTCAAATAATGAGCCAAAAATAGTTATAATTCAATTGTATGTATCATTATTAAGTTGGCGATGAAGAATCATCATCAAGCTAGCAGAAAGAAACGCGTGTTAAGCGAATTAAAGGTTTCAGCAACAGGTTCATTTAAATTTTATTAATTGATAAATGTCATTTAATAGGACATTGTGAGCATGTTAGACCCTGCGCACAATGGAGGAAATATTAGAAATAGGATTAAATATTAAATTTTTATTTTCAAAATGCTTATTGTGCAAAAAAACAGCGGCATAAATGTAAATCCAATGAAATTTGAATCCAAATGCAACCGTGAAATTCGAATTGAATAAAATATAATT